CAGCGTGTGTTTGGAATAACAGGGAGCGGAAACCTCCAATCACACTCTTATATCCTGCCACCATAGTGTTGAGCAATACGAATACATGCACAGATAAGGAAAAGGTAATTGGCAGCTTAGAAGGGAACTGGAGCAGGCTCGGATATCAACAGCTGATCTATACAATCCCAGGCTGCAGTAGGGACAAGGAGGGAGTTACAGTGAATAGTAGGATCCAAGGGGATTTTGAAAGTCTACAAATGCTCGTCAAGTGTATATACACAATGTAGTATAGCATTGAGTGTTTGATTTTGGGTTTAACCACTTGCCCTCCAGAGGATTTATTCCCCTTCCTGACCAGGCCTTTTTTTTTTTTTTTTTATTTTTTATTTATTTTGGGCAACACTGCACTGTTACTTTGACAATTACGCGGTCATGCAACGCTGTCAGAGGTGTGAAAACGTTTGGGAACTACTTGCCCAGGAACTAAATTTGTGCCCCAGTCTACTTGTCCCTCATGACAATCTACTTGTCCAGATATAAAGTTTAACCAAAACTGTATTTAAATCGGAGGTGATATTAGGAAGGTCTGGGGCTTTTGAAAACAAAAGGGGCTTTGATAGCTTAAAAGTGTAATATTTTTAACATTTTGCTGTTTTTATCTCCTCCTGCACTGCACCCAGGGACTAACAGGAGTGACCTTGCAGTGTAATGAGCACCGATTGGCTGCTACTGGGGAAAGGGTGGGTCAGGGCTCATTCTTTATCCCTTTCACTGACAGTGCCAATTTTTTTTGCACAAGTTTAAAAAATCATTTTAGGCCTGAAGATTACATAAACCCCCTAACATTTTCTGAAAGACCCTAGAGAATAAAATGGTGGTAGTTACAATTTTTTTGTCGCATGATATTTTTTACAGGAATTTTGCAGTAATAAGTTGCTTTTAAAGTGCAAAAAAGCAAATTACCCTTTTTTTGGTAAAATATACAGTATCTCACAAGTGAGTACACCCCTCAAATTTTTGTAAATATTTTTTCATGTGACAACACTGAAGAAATGACACTTTGCTGCAATGTAAAGTAGTGAGTGTACAGCTTGTATAACAGTGTAAATATGCTGTCCCCTCAAAATAACTCACAGCCATTAATGTCTAAACTGCTGGCAACAAAAGGGAGTACACCCCTAAATGAATGTCCAAATTGGGCCCAATTAGCCATTTTCCCTCCCCGGTGTCATGTGACTCGTTAGTGTTACAAGGTCTCTGATGTGAATGGGGAGCAGGTGTGTTAAATTTGGTGTTATCGTTCTCACTCTCATACTGGTCACTGGAAGGTCAACATGGCACCTCATGGCAAAGAACTGAGGATCTGAGCAAATGAATTGTTGCTCTACATAAAGATGGCCTAGTCTAAAAGATTGCCAAGACCCTGAAACTGAGCTGCAGCATGGTGGTCAAGACCATACAGTGGTTTAACAGGACAGGTTCCACTCTGAACAGGCCTCACCATGGTCGACTAAAGCAGTTGAGTGCACGTGCTCTGTCATATCCAGAGGTTCCCTTTGGGAAATAGATGAGTGCTGCCAGCATTGCTGCAGAGGTTGAAGGGGTGGGGGGGTCAGCCTGTCAGTGCTCAGACCATACGCCGCACACTGCATCAAATTGGTCTGAATGGCTGTCGTCCCAGAAGGAAGCCTCTTCTAAAGATGATGCACTAGAGAGCCCGCAAACAGTTTGCTGATGGTGTCAAGCATGTGTGGCGACAAGGTGAGGAGTACAAAGACAAGCGTGTCTTGCCTATAGTCAAGCATGGTGGTGGGAGTGTCATGGTCTGGGGCTTGCATGAGTGCTGCTGGCACTGGGGAGCTACAATTCATTGAGAGAACCATGAATGCCAACATGTAATGTGACATACTGAAGCAGAGACTGGGCCACAGGGCAGCATTCCAACATAACGACCCCAAACACACCTCCAAGACTACCACTGCCTTGCTAAAGAAGCTGAGGGTTAAGATGGACTGGCCAAGCAGGTCTCCAGACCTAAATCCTATTGAGAATCTGTGGGGCAGATTCTCCGTGATGTCATGGAGGGAAAGAGGACTCCAGTGGCAACCTGTTAACTCCATGCCCAAGAGGGTACGGCAGTGCTGGAAAAATAATGGTGGCCACACCATATTGAGCCTTTGGGCCCAATTTGGACATCTTCACTTAGGGGTGCACTTTTGCCAGCAGTTTTGTTGGCTGTGAGTTATTTTGAGGGGGCAGCAAATGTATACTGTTATACAAGCTGTACACTCCTTTACATTGTAGCAGTGTCATTTCTTCAGTGTCACATGAAAAGATATAATTTTTACAAAAATGAGGGGTGTACTCCTGTGATACTGTAAAAGATGAGCTTGCATCAAGCAAATTAATATCCAACTTGTTAAATTTTGTGCGCGCTTGTGAAATGGCGATGACGGTCAGTAGCCTATATTTTCTATAGGTCGACACTGAAAGCTCCTTTTTTTATAGGTTATCAGTTTAGAGCTACGGAGGTCGTCTGGTGCTAGAATTCTTGCGTGTATTGCAATCGACGTGTGCATGCGTAGGCGCCCTAGCGCGTGCTTTTGTGTGTGTGTGTGTGGGGGGCCCTCAATTTTTTGGGGGATGGTATGTGCTTGGGTGTAACCTTTCTTTTTTTTTTTTTTTTTTTTTTTTTTGTTTATCATGTAGGGGACAAAGACAGGCTGGCACTGTGTGGAAGCAATCAGATGACATGGCTGCTGCCCGAATGCTTCCACCAGACAGGTGAGCCTGCTGCTTGCCTGCAGCAGGGCTAAAGATAAACTACCTGCCCAACGCCCAGAACTACATGTCTCAGACATTGGGTGATAGGAATCAAAGCAGACATGTAACAGATTGTTTTGGCCTAAATTTATAGAGAAATTTGGTTATTTTATTGGGTATGTTTTATAGCAAAGTCAAATTTTTCGCTCCCAAATGGTCAGGTGTTTTTTTTTTTTTTTTTGTTTGTCTTTTTTGGCGCTATAAACCATTTTGAGCGAAAAGTTTGGCTTTGCTATAAAACATACCCAGTAAAATTTAATTTCTTCATAAATTCAGGCTGGAATTTTAATCTGGTATGTCTTTGCTAAAAAAAAAATCCCAATACATGTAAAATTGGTTTACGTAAAAGTTAGTCTACAAATGGTGTGTGTTTGTGTGTGTTTTTTATACTAGTAGTGGCGCAGTGATCAGCGACTTATAGTGGGACTGCAGTGGCCATTGACACTGGCTGGGAACTGACTGCCACGGACATCCCCAGTGACACGAATAGTGATCAGTGCTAATGAACACTGACACTGGGCAGGAAGGGGTTAACATCTGGGACAATCAAAGGGTTCACTGTGCTATTTTACAAAGGAGGCATGCGGTTGTATCTGATACAAAATGGCATGTCCACACTGACGGGAGAAACTTGTTTATACACAGGTCTTTCTCTTGTCGTCTTTACCCAGCGATTATCGAGTGCTGGTTGGGAATTGCTGGCCGGGACTTGATTGACATCCATAGTGACACACCCCACCCAGCAATGCAAATCACGTATATGCACTTGCGCGTGTGTGTATACAGTACTTCTGCTATAGGGCAGCGGGAAAGCGGTTATTGACTCTTTAAGGCAATTTGTATATTGTGCTAAAACATGATTTTGCAGTTTAATTCAGTGGACTGTGATAAATAGAACTATAGTGAAAACTGTACATTTTGGATAGAGCAAGGGTGGTTATAACAATCTGTGTCCCATTGGAGATTTCAATTCACTTCCTGTCCCATAGCCAAAACGAAGTGAGAAAATCCCTGCAAATTAACCACTTGCCTACTGGGCACTTATTCCCCCTTCCTGCCCAGGCCAATGTTCAGCTTTCAGCACTGTCACTTTGAATGACAATTGTGCGGTCATGCAACACTGTGTGAAAAAAAGGAAAAAATTTCATATGGGTACAAATAGCTTGATTTGGTTTGGTGGTATTTGCCACTAAGTGTTATTTTTTTTGCGCTATAAACAAGAGTAACAAATTTGAAAGTTTTTGTTTAATTTTGCAAACCAGTAATTGTTTCTCCTTCACTGTGCGTTGAGACTGCACAGATGGGTGGCACTGCTGGGCACAGATCAGTGCCGATCACTTCTGACAATTGCCGGTTATCAGCAGTATTTTCCAGTGCTCCTTTGGCACACAGTACTGTCGCAGCATGAGGAAAGAAAAAAAAAAACTCATCCTACAAGCTCTAACCAGTGTTCAGCCAGACAGAAGTCACAAGACTGCCCTAACCGCTGAGAAAATTTAGCAATATAGTAAAATGGTATTTCCGTGGAGTGAGAGAGACCAGACAGACAATGCAGGGTCCTGGGTTGAACACCAACTCATTGTGACCCAAATTATAACTAAAGGCAAAAAAAGGCCAAAACTTTTGTTTTGGTAAAGATTAGAACACTTAGTTTTTATTGCGGTCTGTGTCCCTTTTAGGTAGAAATAGCCTTCTTTTCCAATTACCATTACTAAACGTGAAAGTTAAAAAAATAAAAAAAATTTGCCAAATTTTGGGTTACCCACAAAAAAGGGAATCTTTTTTTTTTTTTTTTTGTGAATCTCGTTCTGGTGACCTGAGGGTCCCTGAATTCTTAACCTCTTCCCTACCGTGCTATAACCGAAAGACTGCTACAGCGTGGTTGTCTAGTTCTGGGACGACATCCATGGACGTCATTCCAGAACACACCCCCCAGTGGCGCGCACTTGGCGCTGCCAGTGATAGCTGTGTCCTACAGACACAGCTGATAACGTGATACGGTAAACGGCCAATCACAGTGGCCTTTTACCATGTGATCAGCTGTGTCCAATGACAGCAGATCACCAAGTAAATACAGCTGCCGGTTATCAGCTGCACTTTCCTCACTGCATATAGACTGATTTTACTGCTGTGGTTTTAACATTTTAAGACTAAACACCACTTTACTCTGTTTTTTTTTTTTTTTTTTTTTCTAGTTTTCAACCTACTCAACAACCCTCTTGGAAAACCGCCACCTCTTGGCTTCTTGCCAATGGATCCCATTGGCTCAGACTTGGTAGAGAAATATCCATCCCCCCTGCTGCGTGGCTCTCGACTGGATAGCCGTTCGATTTTAGACTCCCGTTCTAGCAGCCCCTCAGATTCTGATACAAGTGGATTCAGCTCTGGTTCGGATCACCTTTCTGACTTGATTGTAAGTTGACACAAGCTTTTCTTGGCTTTGCTCAGGCAGGTCCAAGCTTTGTAAATGTCCATATTGATTGCTTTTCATGATGATTATTGCATCTCCAACTTCAATTTTTTGAATTTTATTACCTGATCCAGTATTTCTTTATCCTTACACCTGAATTATATGCAGCTGCCTTCAGGTGATTGCACACTGGCAAAAATGATGCTGGAACATCAGCTAGTCTCATATTTTTGCTAGTGGCCTTAAAGGAGAAGTTCATTCAGGAACATGTTCCACTTGTTTAGGGTGCAACCTGTTGCTGCTCCTGCATCAGTTTGGGGATCTGAGCACCTGGTGTTACAGCAGTACAGGGGGAAGTTTCCCATACCAGCTGTCAGTGCCATGGTAGCTCATGGAACCAAGTTTTTGTTGAATTTATCCTTTAAAGCTTGCCTCTCCACTAAGGTTTACACTTTCCCGTTACTGATTTTTAGAAACTTGACTGCACCATAGCTGCTTCTAGTTTGCCTGACTCAGCTGTGGGACCATTCCTCAAACCCCACTGTAATGAAGACACAGGGCTAGCCTGTTATGTGGATTCTGCACTGGATCCTGCCGTGGGTACTCCTTTGGCACACAGTACGACACACTGAGTAGCCCGCAGTGTGCTCTATAGGTCCAGAGCTATGGTTTGCATGGAGCCCAGACTCTGAGGACCCATCTGAGAGCAAAGCCAGGAATAGGGGTTGTTCGTTCATCTGGCAGTAGGTGTAGGACTGGAGCCCTTTAATCCTTCACTCAGGGTGGTGTGTGCATTTTTACTTTTTTGGGGGGATGTTTCTGGCATTGCTTTGTTTCAGGTGAAGCATGGCAGAGAAGTGCTTTTGGCTTCCTCTGTCCAGAAGTGTGTAGTTCACCATATGCTTGTGGTGGCGCTATAGCACTGTTCTAATAGAAAAAACTGTTCCCATAACACACTCCCCAAAATATCCCTAATATAGCTGCCATGTAGCAAGTTTACCACTGGTGTATACACTATTAGGCTTTATACACATCTATGGGTGGGAGTTTTAGGTTTTTAGCAGCACCCGAATATAATTTGCTATAGTGAATGTGCTTGTCCTATGGCACTTGACCAGAAGCATCTCGTTGTGCAGGGCACAGAACAGTGGCGAAGCACAGGGACTAGGTTCTCAGCAGTTCAGGCTCAGCCTTTCTTCCTGTGGGGGGGATGTCCAGGAGCCATGTATCCTGTCCTGATGGCTGCCCCTTTTCCTTGAGGTCATAGGTGGGGTTTCAAGCCATGGACAGTCATACTTGTGCTACTTCTGTAGTGTAACACTTTAAGAGGGTATCATCCAAAAAAATATTACTTTTGGGCACCATATACACAAGTAATAGACTCATAAAAATATCTTGCAGATCATAAAAAATCTTTAAATGTGGTGCTCATCCAAGGAGCACCCAAATGATCTGTATACTTAAAGGTTAAGTTCAGCTTTTAGTAACATGTTACACCCATATTTTGGGGGGGGGGGGGGGGGGGTAACATGTTGAATGAGCAGCCTAAGTTCCCCATTGTGACGACAGGTCAAGAGTTCTTCTCCCCCCTGTCACAAGGTTAAGACAGCCATGTTGGGGCTCCATCCACCCAGCTGTGTCAGTTGTGAATGGGAGAGCTAAAACTACCTTCAGCCATCTGACTGCTTGTAGTTCTCAATGAGCTACCAGGGTGCTGATGAGCACTTTAGATCATTCATTCTAACTTTTATTCAGTAACTTCCTGCCTGTGTGGTACAGGCAGATGGCTACACCTGTGTTTTTGTTTTTGTTTTTTTTTTGTTTTTCTGTGTACCTGCAAAAACACCTTGTTCACATCCTCTAAGCCTTGACTTATTTCAAACGGTTTGGTTGTCCTTAGGCATAGGGTATGCTTGACTAAAAACATTTTGCATTACTATTACGGCTTCATTGGGAGATTAATAAAGGTACATTCTATAACGAATCAAAGTACTGTGTGTGTATATATAGTGAGCATGAAACAAATGCATATGTCTGGCATGAAACAAATGCATATGTCTGGAAGTCAGGTATTCAAAACCTTTCTACAGCTCATTTATGGTCATGGGTTCTTATCACTAACACACAGGCTGTCTCCCAGAAACGGTTCTATAGAGTCGGCTCTTCCTTCTGGCCAGTGTAGGCACATTCACAGGGGTCTAAAGCCCTGGTGAGAGTATTTCAAGGGGTGCTCAGGTAAGTGATTATACACCCCAACATTGACACATCTCCATATTGAAGTATCACTGGCAATGGGGTGCCTTTTTTATAGAAGTCAACACCTGTGTAAGAGGTAATGATTGTTATGCCAAAAATGTTCTGGCTCAGTTTGAGTGACTGTTGGAATATGAGTAGCTTAAGATGAGAACTATGGGGTGTTGCAGTCTAACTATCTTTGTCCTGGGATATTTCATCTTTCATGCAAGGTAGCCTTTCTGGTTGCCCAACACACCTGCAAGGAGAGTGTCTGAATTTTCAGCACTTAGCCATAGTTAACCCCAAGATGTTCTCTACAACATTTTAGACCCTTGGTCATTTCTCTCCCCGAGATGGTTTCTGCCATCCATCTTATCCAGGTTATTGTCCTTTTATCTGGCTGCTAAGCATCCAAAGGAAGTAGCGTGGTACTGCTAAGATGTGGATGAAGAATTTACCTTTCCACTACTGCTCCATAGGAAATGATTCTTGTTCTGCCTGAGGGCCCACACAAGGTTTTGTTGCAATTTTTTTTTTTTTTTTTTTATCAGATATTTTTAAGTATGGATCCATGTACAAATATAATCAGACAACCAAGCTACACTCCAATGGCGTGTAGCCATAGTATCAAGTTACATTATGTCTTTGGTATACGTGACTTTGTACCCCTTTTTATATTAGAACCATAGATTCCAGACCACAACATTTTCCAGATTGCATCTAGTTTACCATTTTTCGTAGTTTTAGGTATTGTCAAGGAGAATGGTTTGCAGGACAGGATTTTCCTTTCCCTGTAGAGACAGTTCAATCAGATCTGGCAGTGCTTCATGGGTTAATCAACAATGCTTTGGTTTCCCAGATTTTCAAGGCTGCCATCTGTGCTTTTTAACACATTAATAAAGTTCTATCAGGTTGGTGTTCACCTCTTCTGATGCCAGTTTCAGGCATAAGGTGGTACAGGCTGAGTTCAACTATGTGGACCTGTTGACATTGTTACCCTACCCTTCAGTTGGTCTGCTTTTGGATGTCCCAGCCTGTGACCTGCACTGTACGATCAGGAAAATTTTTTTTTTTTTACGTGCCAGGAAAAGCAATTTTTTGGAGTACAGTATGGGGCACAGAGCACTTCACTTTGCTTTCCCTATTGATTGCTATAAAACTGAGGCTAGCTGGGAGTGGTGGGGGTTATAAGCAAACACTGGCAAATCTTCTGGGACAGTCATCTGATGGTAGCTGCATATAACCAGTTGTAAGCTGGTCATAGTGGGCAAATTTCACTATTGTGAAATAAAGAGCTTGATGGAAAATGGTCCAACTGCAGCATCCAGTCAGATGCAGCTGCCATTCTGATTGTTGGAACAAAATAGCCACAGCAGGAGATTCATTCATCCATCCACACTGTATAGTGTGGATGGTGGAATCCTGTAGGTCTGTTTGTGGATTTAAATTTTTTTTTTTTTTTTGGGGGGAGGTAGAGAATCACTTGGCTGTTGTGTGGCCAGCTTGACACGTGTCCTTTACTGTACTCCAGGAAAAGTATTTTACTGGCAAGTCAGAAGTCTTGTTTTGCTGGGCAATGACCTGTGTTGCTTGCTATCATTTGATAAAGGTTCACTAATTGGGTATGTTTGTGGTTAATCCAGTCTAGTCTGCGGATTTCTCCCCCTCTACCATTCCTGCCCTTGGGAGGTGGTGTGTCTCGAGACCCTTTGAAGTTGGGCATTGGCTCAAGGCTGGATCAAGACCATGCTGCTTTAGCAGCCGCAACTGCTTCCCCTATGGGGATGTCGAAGCGGTGGCCAGGTGCTTCAGTCTGGCCCTCCTGGGACCTTTTAGAATCTGCAGAAGATCCATTTTCCATTGAAAGAGAAGCTCGGCTGCATAGACAAGCTGCAGGTAAGAAATTTATGGACAGTCTCATACCTTTTTGGGAGAATCTGGAATTGCTTGGGAGCCAAAAATTCCAGGCACCATGCCTGAAACTGTGCATGCATAGAGTATTTATCCTTTATCACTAACCTCACTACAGTAGGAGTAAGGAATGTTAAGTAGGCTTACAGCTGCCCCTCTTGCTTGCTTTGGTAGGTAACCTTGAATAGGGGAGTTCAGGAGTTGGCACAGGCTAGGAACATATTAGACTTAAACCAGCTGAAGATCACTGAAGTGGGCTTCTTTTCAGTTTCTGGACCAGGATTTGATGTGCTGTTTTTATTCAAAATTACTTTTTTTTTTTTTTTTAAATACAGACTTTCATGTGATGGCATTGCATCTGCCTTGCCCTTAAGAAGCCAATGGAACAGTGCCGTGTTCAGTCAGCTCAGTTGTTTCAGTCACTACTTTGCTTCAAAGCAGTCTGGGTCTACTTTGCCTTCATGTTGCCAAAACAGCCACAGGCTGTGAATCTTCTGTCAGGCATTTGTAAAGTTTAAGATGGTTAAAATTTAAATATAATATTTAGTATGAAATTTAAGCTGAATAGGTGAGGGGGAAGAAGGGTTGAGTAAACACAATCCCTCTTGTCTAGTTAAACGTAACTTTGTGACAATTATAACATTTTAACGCTTCGAACAATTTGTCCTGAAAGTCACCAAATTACGTTTCCATAAGGGGAAAGTTTTGACACTTCATCTCCCTCCAATTGCAAACTAGTATGGTCCAGTTTTTGTGTATTCCCCTCCACCTTTCTAGTTCTCTAATTTAATACAACAGGGAGAAGGAAAAGTGAAGACTGTGCACAAACCCCCCATTAAGGTTTGCAGCAAGTTCCCAATTACTGAATTCAAAGTCCTTCCATTGAAACAATCATGCCTTACATATTTGTGCAAAACTATGGAAGATAGGGTTGTGATAACAGTTCAGATAGTCGAGAGGGGACAGGAACATAAACTGAGTCTAGAAAATAGATGTCTGTCGAATTTGTGGGTTGTTGGCTACTTTCTAATGTTCTCATTTTAATTTCTATAGTTTGTGGGTTTTCTATAGTTTGTGGGTTTTTTGTGTAAACTTATTTAAGCTAATCAAAAGGAATGAGCAGACGAGGACTGTTAAGTAGCAAAGAATGCTGATGGCTTTCTTTTTTTTAGAAGGAATGAGGGAGAGGTGAGCCAGGAGCGTTGGGTTGCATGGCTGCTCCACAGCAAGACGAGATGGCAGAAAGATGCTTTACTTTTACCATGATTAGCACTGTTGCCATGTTACTATTCTGGGACAGTGAGTGTTTATACTCTTTTCTTTGCATTAGTTGCATGTATGCAGGTCAGGAGCTGTATACTCAAGTTTGTCAATTGTCCTACAAAAGTTTTTAGCACTTTGTATTTTTAAGGCAGGAGTATTTTATGCCATATCTGCTCATTTTATCAGCTGTAAATGAAGCAACTTGCACATGGAGTGGTCAACTGCCTCCCCGGAACTACAAGAATCCAGTTTATTCCTGCAAGGTATTTCTAGGTGGCGTTCCCTGGGATATCACAGAGAGTGAGTGTGCCAAATATTCTTTCCATTTGTATTTTTACAGTCCATGTAAGCAGCTTTTGTTTGCAGAATTCTTGGTTTCCACATTTGTAGCTCTAACCCTTTTTGCTGCCAGACCCAATTTCAGTTGCTCAGCATCTTACCTACTAAGGTATGTTTATAAACATCCTGCTATTCAAGGGGTTAAAAAGCTCACCGCTGCTTTGCAGCCATGAGCTTGGTAGAGATTTAGAACCAGTGATGGACTTTCAGATAAGTGATCTGGATTGCCCTAAAGCTAACTAAGCACTTTTATGGTGCTGTAAAGGTATGGCAACCCCGCTGCTGTTGCCCACTGTGGTTCCTGAGTGCACACATTCTCTAGGGAGCTCCAGGAAAATCTTTCCTAGAATAGGATATAAGACCGTTTTTAATAGACCCCTGATCTTTCCATAAAGAGAACCTTGTCACTTGCCTATGCTGTCCTAGTGGGCTTGTTGCCCTCTTTGTGATGGCAATAAGTTCAGTGAGGAGCTACATTTTAAAAGCACTTTCCATACACAGCCCAATGAGAACTAATATTCAAATGGAGAGGGATTAGAACACTTGTCAGTTTTTGTGGTCTGTGCCTGCATTAAAGATTCACACCTATTTGTCTGGTTTACAGTCAAAGGTAAAATGAAACCCAAACTTTGGTTGACACCAGAACAGTAACAGGAAGTCACTAGTTCTAGTGATACCCCAGGATTCTCACTTTTTGGAGGTAGGCTCGTTTCCTTTTTTGGCTATGGGAAGTGAAGGGAGATGTCTCCACTGGTACACAAATGGCACAAACTAATAATTCACAAACCCCAGTGCACAAGAAAACCTCTCAATGGGTGATATAGGTAAAAAATATGCTGCTGTGCACCGGTGTAATACACAAATTATTAGAAATATTATAGAAATAGCGCAATCAAAACCTCCAATAAACCTAGTGTGTCCAAAAAAAAAAATTTAAATTGTGTAAAGAATATTTACCGTATTTTTCGCTCCATAAGACGCACCTAGGTTTTAGAGGCAGAAAACGGGAAAAAAAAAATATTTCTAAACCAATGGACGGCGGACACAGTACAGGGGATGACCAGAGACGGCGGACACAGTACAGGGGATGACCAGAGACGGCGGACACAGTACAGGGGATGACCAGAGACGGCGGACACAGTACAGGGGATGACCAGAGACGGCGGACACAGTACAGGGGTACAGGGGATGACCAGAGACGGCGGACACAGTACAGGGGATGACCAGAGACGGCGGACACAGTACAGGGGACCAGATGACCAGAGATGACGGACGGCGGACACAGTACAGGGGATGACCAGAGACGGCGGACACAGTACAGGGGATGACAGAGACGGACACAGTACAGGGGACAGGGGATGACCAGAGACGGCGGACACAGTACAGGGGATGACCAGAGACCAGTAGACCAGGACGGACACAGTACAGGGGATGACCAGAGACGGCGGACACAGTACAGGGGATGACCAGAGACGGCGGACACAGTACAGGGGATGACCAGAGACGGCGGACACAGTACAGGGGATGACCAGAGACGGCGGACACAGTACAGGGGATGACCACTGACCTTTGGGGAGGGGGGGGGAGCGGGTACCTGAATTTGACAGGTATCCACTCTTCCGCGGAGTTCTTTGGTTAGTGTCCGCTCTGCAGTTGCACCTTACCTGTTCCTCTATCCAGTGCCGCACTGTCTTCCCGGCTTCTGTAGTGTGGGCGCTCGGCTTGACAGCTGGGTGCCCAGTGCGCATGAGCAAGAAGCGCTGCGCTTTGTGATAGGTCCCAGAAGCCGCCGGACCAGTCATGTGTCCCAGGTGCCGCCTTACCTTTCACAAAGTGCACCGCTTCTCACGCATGCACACTGGGCACCCGGCTGTCAAGCCGAGCGCCCACAATACAGAAGGCGGCGCTGGATAGAGGAACAGGTAAGGTCCCGCTGCAGAGCTGAGCGGCCGGCCCTGTATTCTGACGCGGCGGTGGAAATACCGGACCGGCCGCTCCATAAGACGCACTGACATTTTCCACCCTTTTTTGGGGGAAAAGTGCATCTTATGGAGCGAAAAATACGGTATATTAAAAATATAAAAATGAGAATGATATAGGATATAGAGGGGGATTAGGATTCCTAAAAGGCGCAATACTCACCATTATCTGGTGAGTGTGGTTGATGCTGATTGCACACTGGTGGATGGTGGAAGCACATTTCTTGTAATTCCTGCACTGTTCACCTGATTTGGATGTAAATACCCTCAAATTAAAGCTGACAGTCTACAGTTAAAGCACATCTTGTTTGTTTCATTTCAAATCCATTGTGGTGTATAGAGCCAAAAATGTTAGAATTGTGCCGATGTCCCAATATTTATGGACCTGACTGTATATAAACGGCCGGACGGTGGCAGGGTCGGGTGGCTGTTTATAAACAGCCTCCCCGCACCCTGCTTGTTTGCTCCCTGGGAGCGTGCAGCACCGCAATCCGGTGCCCGCTGTGTCCTCCGGACACAGTGGAATACCGATTGTCCATAGCCTCTGTGCGAGGTCCGGATCATGTGATCACTGATTGGCTAATCGATGATCACATGCAGAGTAGTAAGCAAGATGTCACTTCTGACATTGCTTACGTGTGAAATCTGATCAGAGGTCACATGATACAAGGCTATTCACAACAGCCTTGTACCATGTGACAAGCTGTGACCAATCACAGCTCACAGTAGTTCTCAATGGCTGCAAGAATGCAGCCAGAGGAGAAATGATTGCTTTTACAGCCTTTATGGGTAGTAGTGTGTCACCATGGTGACACTGTACTGCTAGGGTGACAGTATGTAAAAAAAAATTGTAAAATGTTTAAAAATTATTTTTTTTTACAAAATAACGGAATAAATTTTGGCCAAGATTTATTATGAAATACTATTGTAAAATTTTTGGACTTTCATTTACATAGCAAAAAAAAATCCCAGTGGTGAATTAATACCACCAAAATAAAGCTTTCTGTCTAAAAAAAAAAAAAAAAAACAAAAAAAAAAACAAAAACATATGGTTTCAGTGTTGCATGACCGCGCAATTGTCATTCAAAGTGTGATAGCACTGAAAGCTGAAAATTGGCCTGGACAGGAAGGGGGTAAAAGTGTCTGGACTGGAAGTGGTTAGTGTACCATCAATGGTGAATTTTAGGTACTAGGCTTTTGTAGCTTGTTGGGTTTTTGTTTTTATTTTATACAGATAGGAATCTGTTGGCACTGGTCGATGGTACAGACATGGGCCAATCCAATAGCTAGCCCAACATGATATCGCAAGAGCCACCAACTAAGTCCTAATGGTCTGGAACAGTACAAGAGGGACTGCATAGCCTATCTGAAGTTTACATAGAACACACACCAAAAGTAGGGGAGCCGACAAAGTATTAAGAACAGGAAAGACGAGGGGGAGGGGTAAGACTCTCTTCTGCTGCTCTTGCAGTTTTAAGGCTTGACATGTTTAGTGTTATCTACTTAATGTAACTCCATCTTTTTGCATTAAAAGCCTTTTTTTACCTTTTTCTTAAAAGAAGCATTTACTGGATGTGCAACATAAATTACAACTGCAAGTTTTTTTGTTTTTGTTTTTTTCTTTTTGGTTCAGGCTTTCTGCTTTCAGAAATCTGTTTAGGGGGTTAAAGTAGTCTTAGTAGCACAGATTTTTAGGTGTGCAAAAGTGTAGCAAAAATAACATTTCTGGTAGAAATGGTCAGAATTCACTCCTTTACATTTTTCATAGAAAAGGAATACATGTACTGCCCCACTAAGTGCCATAAAACTAGCTGCAATGTTGAACCAGGGTTCCCCCTCTCAGCTTACACCCACCCAACATTGCATCTAGCAAGAAGGCTGCTTTGAGTACTGGTCTCCTACTCCCAGCACTTGCCTGAGGCAAGGAATGCAGAGGGAGGGGATGTAGTCTGTCTTCCTTCCATTTCTTGTGCTGGTGCTTGCCTCCAGCAAAAGTCAGCTGGGGACGGGTACTGCAAAGTAATGGCCTGCTGCAGTGTTGGGCAGCTGTGCACCAAGGGCATGCACCCTGTCAGACATTGCAGCTAGTGCTTTAGGACACCTTGGGAAGATAAGACCTATGTACTTTGCTTTTTAGAACATTTTTACATTTTCATTACAAGTTAAAGACCCTGGAGAATAAAAATAAGTGCAATTTCTTTATCGTACATCCCAGGACACCTTTTTATATCCATTACGATGAGGTTATGCAGCTATCTTCGGGTAGGGAAAGTGGGGGTCTGGGGTCATGTTCTGAACAATCTGTCAAGGGGACTTGGCCACTATGAGAGGTCTTCATAAACATCCTGGAATAGAAGGCTATTTTGCCTTGCCACATTCGTCAGCAGAGCAAAAGGGCCTCCCAGTAAGGATTCAGCCAGACAATGCTGTGGCATATATAAATTGGAGGCACAAGAAATCTGGCTGCTCAAGCGAAAGTGGGTTACATTTTCTGTCTTGTCCCCGGCCTGTCATGTAGGGCTTACACCCACCTTCTGCAAGTTCTTGAACACCTATGGGGAAAGCCCATTCTCCCAGAGTCAGTTGTTTAAGAAAATCCACCCACCAGATTCACAGGAATATTTAGTTGTCAACTGACTCTGGCAGAGTGGGCCCTTATTGCCCATAGATGTTCTAGGAACTCTGGATGTCAGACGATCCACATCTGGTTACCCACCTTCTGCAGATTCAGGGTCTAAACTTGAGAACAATCAGAGGTCAGATTTCAGCCTTGGCAGCCCTTCATAGACCTAGTGCATCAAATGCCTTGCAAGCCTTTTGTACAAGAGGTCCTATGGAGATGAAGTCATAACCAGTAGAACATGCGCGACCCCACTTGATTCTTTCTGTATTGTAGAAATTTCCATTTGAACATATTCCCTTGGCCCTTCTACCACAGGTAATGTTTCTGGTTGCGATTACTTCGACTTGTATAGCTTCTTGGCTGTGGAGAACCGTTACACTATGACAAGGTGGCTTTTTTTTCTTAAAGTAGAACTATGGGCAAAACTTTCATTTTGGATAAGTAACGGAGGGTTATAACCCCTGTCAGTTTTTTCCCATCTGTGTCCCATTGGTGAAATTTACCTTCACTACCTGTCCCATAGACAAAACAGGAAGTGAGTGAAAATCCCTGCAAAGTACGGGAATTCCATGGGGACCCCAGGTCACCAGAACTAGTTTCCCCATTGGAAATTTTATCCTTACTTTTCTGGGGACAACCCAAAATTTGGGATTTATTTAAATTTCACTTTTGATAATGGTAAACAGGACACACAGGGTGAATTGCTCTAAAAGACTGCAAACTCACAGGTATGCTAATCCTTCTCTACTCTATCCAAAGCTTAAAAAGTTGTTCTTCAACCAGGGCATCGTTGACTTTTTCTGTCCTATGCCCTAGATGCCAGGGAACAAGGCTCGTACCTTGAATGTTTGTGCAGTCCAGAATTATCTGAAGTTGACTGAAGTAATTTGTCAGGCAGCTTCCCTCTTTGACCCTTCTGCAGGCTTTCAGGAAGTACACAGCTTTAGAATCTATATGGATCTGGCAATTTGTTCAAGCTTGTTGTCTAAAGGGCAAAATGACCACTCATTCTACTAGAAGTCTTAGTGGTTTCTGGACTATTCGAATTAGTCTTTGGTAGCTCAAGTTGTAAGGCTGCTACCTGGTCTTCAATTTAAACTTTTTTACAAGTCTATGTTCTAGCATTTGAAGATGTGACTTTTGGGGCACCATATCTTGCAGGCTGCCACATGAGGTTCTGAAATGTCCTGGTTCAGTTTGGTGCTTGTAAAGTTGCCTCTCTCCTGTAGTGCTTTGGGTCTTTCCTATCATGAATCTAAAGATACCCTGTGTCCTGGCATGTTCAATAAAGTGTGTTTTGGTTTACTTGTAAAATAATTTTCTTCTAGTACATCACAGGACACTAGGATCCCATCCCTTTCTTCACAGCTTGCTAAGTTGACATTTTGTCTAGGAGGGGAATTTAGTTTTTTTTTTGTGTTTTTTTCCGGTCCTGAGGATATACCCTCTTCCTGACCAGGCCATTTTTTTTGCGTTCCAGAGCTACGTTACTTTAACTGACAATTGCACGGTCATGCAACGTTGCACGCAAATGAATTTTACATCATTATTCTTACACACAACTAGAGCTTTCTTTCAGTGGTATTGCCTGTGCATTTTTTATTTTTGGCGCTATAAAAAGCCACACCCCCTACCCAGAAATGCAAAATCACATGTATATAGCTGTGATTTTGCACACCTGTAGCAGTACTTCTGCTATAGGGTGGACAGGAAGTGGTTAAGGAAAAGGATTTTACACTTAAGCCAAAAAATGTTTTCACTTGGTGCAATGATTGATCAAACACAGATCTAATAGTTAAATGCTAGTTGATTTTGATGCACAAAAACGCCAATTTTTTTGGTAACCATGCGTAAATGAATACAAAGAATGTCAAGTATTAGAATGTCTGTCTGAAAAGGGCAGCAAACTACGACACCATAATTTGTCCATAGGTGATGCTTTAAAAGCCTTTTCAAGCCATAATTTGGAGTTAGAGAATGATAATCCTAAAATGATCGCTCACTCTGGCATGCAAAGCAATACCTAATGTTACGCAACCTTAGTCTTTTCCTACATGGGCTGCTCCAAAGTGTGCATTTTGTGGGGGACAGGAGTGTTGCAAAATTGTTGATGGGGTTTTATGTAAAACTTTACTTGACTTGTCTTATCACATGAGGCTTCTGCAGTTGGTAGTAGTGAAGATGTCTTTACAGCCACCCACATCACTTACAGTAAACTGACAGCCTGCAGAATGAATGTAAAACTCTCAGCTGCTGTAAGTCAGTTGTCTGTTTATGGGTCCCTGCTGGTACTAACTTAACATTGTTAGTTGCAGAATCATGGTTAAAGTGTGTGTATAGCCTAACACTTTTTAGTTTGTATGAAAGAATTGGTTCTTATGTCAGATTTTATACCTGGCTATTGAGATCCCTTGCTGAGAATAGCCTGCTTTGGCGGTACTGGATATCTGGACAATACCAGAAAAGTGATTGGCATTCCAAAATTTAGTTGTCCCTGTATGAGTCCAATTCAGTACACCTTGTCCTAGGGCGGGTGTCGGCAACCCGCGGCTCCAGAGCCGCATGCGGCTCTTTTTCATCTTTGCTGCGGCTCCGGAGCACACTGCCCACCAGGTGACAGGCAATAGGGTTTCAGTGGTCGGCAAGCCGCGGATCGCAAGCCACATGCGGCTCTTCTGTGTGCCGGGCGCCCGCTCCCCTCCCTCCTCTCGGGCGGCCGCCTGAAAAGTCAGGACTCTTTTAATCCAGCCCGCGGAGCGTGGAACATTAGCTGTCAGGATGTAGGCGGGGCAGCCAGGATGTAGGCGGGGCAGCGTGACGAACTCCTCTCACAGTCCGCCCTGAAGACCGGAACACAGCGCGGGAACACAGCGAGAGGAACGCGCGGAGCAAAGGTAAGTGAATTGAGACAATATGGGGAATTGGGGGGATGAATATGGGGGGGATGAATTGGTATGGGGGGGATGAATTGGTATGGGGGGGATGAATTGGTATGGGGGGGATGAATTGGTATGGGGGGGATGAATTACGGTATGGGGGGATGAATTACACAGTATGGGGGGATGAATTACAGTATGGGGGGATGAATTACAGTATGGGGGGATGAATTACAGTATGGGGGGATGAATTACAGTATGGGGGGATGAATTACAGTATGGGGGGGATGGTATGGGGGGATGAATTACAGTATGGGGGGATGAATTACTATATGGGGGATGAAGCTAACTGCACGATCCTGTATATAGCATTAAGGTAAGAAACAATATATGCAGTGTCGGATTTGTTTTAAATTGCAATGGTTTTGCGGCTCCCAGTCTTTTTTTTTTTTTTTTTTTTCCCTTCGGAAACGGGTCCAAGTGGCTCTTTATGTCTTAAAAGTTGCAGACCCCTGTCCTAGGGGAATTACTAAATTTTTGTAAAGATTTCATCTTCTGTTGCATCTGTGGAAAAGTAAAGGATAATCTCAAGAAGAGGTTTAAATCCTTTCCCTACTGAATTCAAAAGTTGTGGCTAAATTTTAGTTGTTGGCCTAACAAAATGTTTAGTATCTTGTTCTGATAAAACTCTTCATGCGAAGGAAAAAAAAAAATTCTAAGATTACTTTTTTTAAAGCCTAGATAGGAAGATATTGCCCTTAGTTTGTATATCATGCCTTGCCTCTTTGCTTTGCAGCTGGCCTGATAAACACATTCCGTGTGTTTTGGTGCTCTGAGTGTTGAGTGGCCTGGTAAGGATGGGAAGCATCCGCGTTGTCCTCCTAAAGGTAATATGCCTAAAGGTAATGCCAGAGCGGTAGGAGCTTACTTTATTTGAGCACATTGTGGTGCTGCACAACAGATCACATCTGGAACCTCTAGGACACGGTGATGGGATTAGGTTTTTAATATTAACCAATGCAATCTGCTGTCTATAGCCATCAGTTTGTCTTCAATAGCAAATGAGTGGTTTTACTAAAGCACCCATGGCATTGCCATTTGGTTAAGAGTTCACATCCTACAGCTCAGTTAAAGGATTTGAAAGTAACCTGAACACAGCTGTAGGGTGTTGTGGATGCAGATTTAATTAAAAATGCCACAGTTTAGTCTTGCATAGACTGGATATGCTAGTCTTACAAATGGACTACGGTTATTGGTTAATAATTGAAGCCAGAATTTTGAGCAGGTGTACAAACTTTTCATGGTGTGGACTTGTATGCTTTCTAAATGTTTGTCCTATGTCAGTGACTGGAATTGTATTATGGTATATGCTGGTTGGTTTCCTTTTTAGGGCATATACATCAGTTCTGCATCTCAAAAATACTACTGTTGGTATTGGGGTACACACATTTATGCAGGCACAAGAGCTCTAACATAAAACTCTTTACATTTCACATTCTTGCTATGTCACAGGTGGCATGGAAAGCCATAAGTGAGTTTTTGCATTGGTGTTGTACATGTATCTTCTAAACATTAAATAAAACAAAGTTTTGCATGTGGGAACACTTAAAGCTTTATGCGTGGGCTCCCTTGCACCTGCATTGGGCAGTGTGGATGTACCCTTAAATGATTGTAAAGGGAATTTTTTAAATGTTGCACTTGCCTGTTTCCGGCCAAAAGCTGACCTGATGCTCCTTTTTGGGTACTCTCTAAGTGCACCCATAGCAAGCCGCTTGCTATGAGGGCACTTGTGAGCTATTTGCTCTTCACTGGCCATGGAGGCAGCAGCGAGAGCCGCTGGATCGAGATTCGGCTCAGGTAAGTATAAGAGGAGGGGGGGGGGGGGGGGGGGGCGGGCTGAACGGAACGGCGTTGGTTTTTATGCATTCTACCTTTTTAGAATCACTTTAAAGTGTTAGCTCGAATTTCCTCCAACCAGCATGTTTGACAAGCAGGGTGGATAAAAATTGATTTTTAAGAAATTAAAACTGATTTGATTTTTATTCAAATCAGATTTGTTTAGTACAAATCTAAGTTGTTTTTTTTTTGTTTTATTTCTTTAAGATGCAGTAATTTAGTTCAGCATGAAATGGAGCTTGGTTATGTAGCATGAGGCTGTATATTCTGCAATATTTAAATTTTTGGTAAATGCCTTCAATGCATCCAAGCTGAGACAGCATGAACTGCATTGATGCATTTACACATTTTCACAGTAACCATGAGGGAAAAACATGAAATAAAAAATTTGTAATTCTCCAGCTATGTGTGGATTAACCTAAAATCAGTTCTGATATCGCTGTTTTACTAACCTGACAGCTTATTCTAAAACGGAAACCTTTAATTTGGTTTGCAAATAAAGATTCTAACTACCAGCAAGAATGAGTCAGATGCCTTAATTTAAAGAGCACCTGTCATTTTAGATCCATCATGGCAGTGCCTGTTAGCGGGCATCCACTCCTGCTGCCACATCCCTTAACTTGTCAGTGCTGCATCACCAGCTATCCCAATAAAGTGAATGGGACTATCGGTGAGTCTACAGCAGGCCAGAGGAGCCTCCACTGCGGTACAGATGACAGTTGCTGTTTTTAAAAATTAAATCGTGCCTTTTCACTAGTTCATGATTTAAGCCATATCTACCCTGTTGACAAGCCACTTGTTACTGTTCCTTAGTATGCTAAAGGTTCTGTTGGGCATAGGTAATCATGATATGCTTACCCGGACGTTGACATACTCCAGGAGTGAATACTGTACCTAACTGAACACTTGTTGCTACAAAGTCTCTGCAACTGAGTGATAGTTGGATTGTTAATTTTTTTAATTTAAAGATGCGTATGTGGTGATGAGAACTGTACTGCAAAATATTGAGGCTGCTAATGCTGCCCCTTAAAAGGCTTTGGCTGGCTCTGGCCTCAAAGCTGTGAGCCACTTGAATATTCAAACTTGCAGGTAGTCTAGAATGTCTACCTGAAAATGCATACCAGGATTTTTCATTTTATAGCCACTCAAATCTTTAGATGAGAATGCCAAAAGGGAGGTGAATGGTAGGCTTTTTTATACTATATTGATGCTTTTGAAATAGTTCACATGACAGTTTATGTAGGGCTTGCTACAACATATCAGTTTGAATTCATAACTGTAATTCATGTTTCCAATATTTCAGGCTATGTATACCTGGTTTTTGAGTCGGAGAAGTCTGTGCGTGCTCTGCTTCAGGCATGCACACAAGATTTGCTGAATCAGGATGGACTAAGTGAACACTACTTCAAAATGTCAAGTCGCAGAATGCGCTGCAAGGAGGTAACTGCCTTTCTCAATTCATTATGGCAGGAGTACCAAGGGGTTAAACAAGTGACACAATTTTTTGAAGCTTGAAAATGCCTTTTACTTTTCAGTGTGCCAATTTTTGCTCACTGTCTTTGTGCAACATCTAGGTGCAGGTCATTCCTTGGGTGCTGGCCGACAGCAACTTTGTGCGCAGTCCATCACAGCGCCTGGATCCTAGTAAAACTGTATTTGTTGGCGCTTTGCATGGCATGCTAAATGCGGAAGCCCTTGCCTCAATAATGAATGACCTTTTCGGTGGCGTGGTCTACGCTGGCATTGATACTGATAAGCACAAGTACCCAATAGGTGAGCAACATTTTTAGTAACTGATCATTTCAACTGGTGTGTCGCTGTAGAGTAGGGAAAGGTCAGAAACTGTCCCCATCAGAAAGCCAGTGAGGAAAATGTACCCAACACAAATGCAAAGCTTAAAAACTGACAAATTGTAGCAAAAGCATATTTATCCAAGTGGGTGCAGGTATTGATGTCAGATTTTGCTTGGTCTTTCTAACCCAGCACTACGTGCTCTCGTGGTTTTTTCTTTTGACTAGTGGGTGCTGTTCAACAGCGTAGCTAAAAATGAACTTGTCAGTTTGTTCTGTGCCCTTGTTACAAACTAGGAAACAAATTGTCTTGTACCTTTTTCATCTTGCACAGGTTCTGGGCGCGTCACTTTCAACAACCAGCGCAGTTATCTAAAGGCTGTAAGTGCAGCTTTTGTGGAAATAAAAACAGCCAAGTTTACCAAGAAGGTAAGTGTTGACTTGCCTCTTGGCAAAGTGTCTGAACAATATTTGCCCATAAAGTGAAAATTGCACAAATTGATATCTCCCAGGTGTAACTAACATAAGTGCTATGTTGCATAAATGGGCTAGCTGCTAAAAATGAGAGCGATTTAACTTGTAACACCCAGTAAGAGGAGCCTTTGAGGTTAGAAGCATGAAATGTTGTGACACTAGCTGAAGTCTTCAGTCATACCTCAACCTCGACAACCCAGACACAGCCCGTCTCTTCCACTTAACCTCCTCCTTTGCACTTGCACAGTGCATACAATCCACCACCCACTCCAACGGTAATATTCTTGATCTGGTCTTCTCCAACCACGACGCTCCCCACAACCTCACTAACACCCCCTTTCCTCTCTCTGACCACAACCTGATTACCTTCTCTATCTCCTCGTCCTCCAACGCCTACCCCTCCAAATGTCACACTACTACCAGCCGTAACCTCTGCAACCTTAACCCTGCCCCCCTCCACTCTGCAGCTGATCAACTCCATGACAGCATCCTCCCCCTGTCCTGCCCCAACTTGGCTATGACTGCCTACAACAACGCGCTGTCAACAGCCCTTGACTCACTAGCGCCTTTAACCACACGCAACATCAGACCCCGACCGCTCCAGCCCTGGCAGACTGATACACACCAAAATTCTCAAACGACAGTCGTGCCCTGGAGCGACTATGGCGCAAAACACAATCCCAACAAGCCTTCACCCACTACAAATCTGCCTTCCGCACCTACACCTCCTCCCTCCACGCAGCCAAACAAGCCTACTTCCTGACCCTCATCAAGACCCTCTCCTCCAACCCTCGCCGACTCTTCTCCACCTTCAACTCTCCCTTCCCCAACCCATCAGATTATCACCTACTCTCCTCTCCTTTAGGCGCACCCTGAAAACCCATCTCTTCAGGGAAGCCTACCCCCTGCTAACTTGACCGACCTCCTCCACTCTTCCTACCACTCCATCCCCCACAGCTATCTCCTCCTGTACCACTATCCTGTCCCTTCTAGATTGTAAGATCGAAAGAGCTGGGCCCTTGATCCCCTCATGTTTTGCATTGTATTGGTATTCTGTCACATGTTCTGTCCCCCTTTGTAATGTACAGCGCTGAGTGAACTATCAACGCTTTATAAATACTGTATAATAATAATAAAGCTCCTAGTGCCCAACAGGCACACCTAAATATAACTTGCTAGCAAACATGCCTATCTTATTTTGGATGTAATCAATAAACATGACTTTGGCTAAATGTAAGGACTGCCATATGCATTGCTTGTGAAATATTTTTCACAAGTCCTAGACTGCTTATTTGCCCCAGCCCATATTACAGAAGTGACCACAAAGTACATGTCACTGCAAGCAACTCGCCTGAGGCTTTATTACTTTTCGGCCACATGTATGGGATGGAATGTTGCAGCACATGTCTTGTCCCTCAAAGAGCTATGTGATGCGCTTTTCTGAAGGGCTGAATAAAACCGTATTGCCTGTGTGGATCAGCAGCCTGTCACTTGTTGGACTGCAGAACTGCACCAAAAGTCAAGAAACCTCTTACAAAAAAAATAGGGAAGGCTTGTCACGTGTAGTTGCATAACCAAATGTCATTTCAGAGTCTCTTGTTTTTGTGGACAAGCCATGACATTCTAATGTTTGAATTGCAATTCCACATGTTGGGGTTTGTCTTTGCAGTAATTTCTTTGCTGTACATTTTAGAATCGAATGCTGAATTCTAAAGGGGCAGAAAATCTCAACTCCATAACAGCAAATACTGAAGAGGGGGAAGTCCTGGCAGGAAGCAAGGACTGCTGGGAATGCAGCTGCCAGGAGGCTAGTGTAGCTGACCAGCCTCCTTTTGACAGTCTATGCACTATAGAAGCGCGCTCATTGTAAACTCTGAAGCCAGAATACTGGCATCAGTGTTTACAATGTACACCTTGCGGAGCATGACGCAGGTGCCAGAATGGAGTACTGCCATGTTCTGGACAAAATCACTGGTCCTAAAGTGTAGATTCTCAGCTCCTTTAGTAAATTAGACTCATCGCTGTAAACATTTTTGGTACTGTCCAAAAATCTGAAATTAGGTACAGCAAACCTTTAAACATGCCTCTTCACCTACTCCTGTTCAACTTCTAGGAAAAGACTAAAATGGTTAAGTAATTCTGGGATTGGTTTAGAATACTTTTGCCATGGTGGTTTCAATATTAAGTAAATTCATGATACAGTGGAAATCCCTTTCTTCTTTCTAGGTTCAGATTGACCCTTATCTTGAAGATTCGGTGTGCCAGGCTTGCAATTCCCAGCCTGGTCCATTTTTCTGCAGAGACCAGGTAATTCTAAATCCACCAAAGTGGCTTAGACCAACATTCCTTATAACCTCCAAGCTTGTTCAGTGCAAGGAATAAAATGCGGTGCCCTGTGATAGTCTTGTGCTTTACTTCACTTTGGGTTAATTGCCGGTTTGCTGCTTTGCATCATTCCACTTTCATTGAATTTTAACCTTTAGGGACTCGTTTTACATATGGGGGTGTTCCGTAAAATGTAGTTTGACCTGTAGCTTTGCCAAATGTATGACAAAAGGTGCATGTTACCACAACTGTGGAAGGCCCAGAAGGGTATACCCCCGCTGACAGCTAACTGAATGTAGACCTGTATAGAGGTTGGCAACATGGTAAGGTAAGATGCTCATCCTGGCTATCAGATGTTTACAGCAGGTTTGAGACTCAAAATTCCAAATACTTGCAGTACACTTGAATGCATGTCCCATAAATGGCATTGCTTGTGCAAAACTAGCAGGAAGGAATGTTTGATTTCATTATCGGGTATTAAAACTTTAAAATTTAACAGTAAAAATTCCATTCAGAGCTTTGTTTCAGGTAGATGACCAGGTATTGCATCACCACAGGCTGCATTTTTACCACCACTACGGCCCAGACTGCTTATATGGTACTCCGGTACTTCCTCCACCTTTCAGCACACTCTGCCAAGTCTACCCCAAAGTCCTCCTCACAATGAAGAGGCACAAAGAGCATAAGACAGTGGTTAGTTTGCATTCCTTTCAGATGTCCCAGACCTATGGGTTCAATCCGTGATCTCAAAAGGGTACAAAATTTCAATCTCTTCAGGGACACTGTTGGGGTGTGATGAATCTGGGTGCCAGGAGTCTGACAGCCTTAAAAGAAATGTGTGATTCTCTCCTGGACAGAGAATCGCTGTAAGCATATAGATTCATTACAATGATTTATTTCAAGCATTTCTTTGAGGATTATGGTTTACAGCTAGTGAAACCCCAAATTCAGTATCTCAAATTTAGAATATTGTGAGTTCAATATTGTAGACTCATGGTCTCATTCTAATCGGCTAGCTCAAAACGCCTGTAAAGGTTTCCTGCTGTTTAAAAAATTTATGTGTATTTTGTATATCCTAGACTCTGGTTTATTATAATTTATATTTTTTACGATATGTTTTATTAAACCACTCTTGTCACATAGGTAACCACTTTCTGCTTCAGCTCCTTGCTGAAAAAAATTTCCTTTTTTGAGAAGTGTAATTTGGTTACAGTGACAGTACTGATTGCAGTGAGTTGGCAAAACCCGCTTTGATGGGCAGATCCTTTGTTTTAAATGGTTGCCATCTAGCTACAATCATGGAAGACTGCTGACTTAACCGTTCTCCAGAAGACTGGGATGACCGCAGCCTTGAGAGGATTGTGAAACAAAAGCCATTCAAGAATTTGGGGTAGATTCACAAGGAGTGGACTACGGCTGGTGTCGGTGCTTCAGGAGCTACCTCACAGACATATCCTGGACATGGGCTACAACTGTCGCATTCCTCGTATCAAGCCACTCCTGAACCAGAGACTAGGTCGGAAGCATCGTACCTGGGCTAAGGAGAAAAAGGACTGGACTGTTGCTCAATGGTCAAGTCATCTTTGGATTAAAGTAAATTTTGCATTTAATTTGTAAATCAAGGTCCCAGAGTCTGGAGGAAGAGTGGAAGAGCCCCAAATCAGTTGCATGAGATCCAGTGTGAAGTTTGCAGTCAGTGATTTGTGGAGCCATGTCATCTTCTGATTTTGGTCCACTGTGTCCAAAGTCGGCACAGTCCTCTACCAGGAAATTCTAGAGTACTTCGTGCTTCCCTCCAGCTTTATGGAGATGCTGACTTAATTTTCCAGCAGGACTTGGCACCTGCCCCCACTGCCAAAAGTACCAGTATCTGGTTTAATGATCATGGTATCACTGTGCTTGATTGGCCAGCAAATGTGCCTGACCTAAACCCCATAGAGAATCTAGTATTGTCAAGAGGCAGATGAGACACCAGACCTAGCAATGCAGACAAGCTGAAGGCTGCTATCAAAGAAACCTGGACTTCCATAATGCCTCAGCAGTGCCACAGGCTGATCTCCATGCCATGTTGCTTTGATGCAGTAATTCCTGCAGAAGGAGCCCTGACAAAATACTGTGTGCATACTGTACATGAACACAGTTTTCAGTATGGCAACATTTTTTGTATTAAAAATCCTTTTTTTGGTCTTATGTAATCTAGTTACTGAATTTTAGGTTTTCACTAGCTATGCAAGCCATAATCAAAAATGCTTGAATTGTATCACTGTGTAATTTATATAATGACTCAAGCTTTTCAGTTCAAAAAGTGTGTGGGATTTTACAAAAAACTAAATGTATTTGCAGAAAAGCTATAGAATCTACAAATTATGGTACGTATATACTGGAATTTTCTAATTTATTTTTATACTAGTAATTGCAGCAATCAATGACTTATAGTGGAATTGCAGTGGACATTTTTAGACTAACTCCCACTTTGTGGGAACCGGTGACACTGGTGATCAGTGTTAATATACTGATCACGTTACTAATTACACTGGTTGGGAAGGGGAAAAAAGAGGGTTAAGAGTACCTAGCTTTGTGCTTGGTGTACACTAGGTGGTGCTTGTACTAGCCTGGTGCATCATTTTTTCACTTTGATTTTTGGGGTGTCTGAATTTAGTCCTTTTTGTAGGTTGATTTTCATTTCCATCAAATGATGGGGCATCCTTGCATTCCTAAAACATTACCAGTCCATATTGTATAGATATCTAGCATATTTTTCCCTATTGAGATCTGATGTTTTCAAAGTGGGTTTTTTTTTTTTTTGGAGCAGTGTGTGTATAATATATACTATATTGCCAGAAGTATTGGGACACCCCTCCAAATCATTGGGTTCGGGTGTTCCAATCGCCTCCATGATCACAGGTGTATTAAATCAGGCACGCAGACTGCTTCTACAAACATTTGTGAAATGGGTTGCTCTCAGGAGCAACATTTTCCTTTCTTCCTCTGTTATACCACCACCAGCAGTTGACTGTGGAATATTTAGTAGCAACTGGGAACACTTGTACAGTGAAGGAAATGAGTATTTGATCCCCTGCTGATTTTGAATGTTTGCCCACTCACAAAGAAATGATCAGTCTAAAAATCAAATAGGTGTATTGTAACAGACATGTATTTCTTTGGAATTATTTGTTCTAACAAATTATGCACTGATTTGCATGTTCATGAGGGAAATACGTATTTGATCCCCTTCACAAAACTTGGCTTAGTACTTGGTGGCAAATCCCTTGTTGGCAATCAGAGGTCAGACGTTTCCTGGAGTTGGCCACCAGGTTTGCACAAATCTCGGGAGGGATTTTAGCCCACTCCTCTTGGCAGATCCTCTCTAAACCATTAAGATTTGGTGGCTGACGTTTGGCAATTTGAACTTTCAGCTCCCTCCAGATTTTCACTCGGATTAAGGTCTGGAGACTGGCTAGGCCACTCCAGGACCTTAATATGCTTCTTAAGCCACTGCTTTGTTGCCTTGGCCGTGTGTTTTTTGGGTCATTGTCATGCTGGAGCATCCATCCACGACCCATTTTCAATGCCCTGGCTGAGGAAAGAAGGTTCTCACCCAAGATTTGATGGTACATTGCCCCGTCCATCGTCCCTTTGATGCGGTGCAGTTGTCATGTCCCCTTAGCAGAAACACCCCCCAAAGCAGAATGTTTCCACCACCATGTTTGACAGTTGGGATGGTGTTCTTGGGGTCATAGGCAGTATTCCTCCTCCAAACAGTGAGTTGAGTTGATGTTGATTTTGCCAACCACAGCAGCTCGATTTTGGTCAATTCTGACCACAGCACTTTTCAACGAGTCCTCTGCATCATTCAGATGTTCAGTGGCAAACTTCAGAGGACTCGTTGAAAGTGCTGTGGTCAGATGAGACCAAAATCGAGCTCTTTCAACGAGTCCTCTGCATCATTCAGATGTTCAGTGGAAAACTTCAGACGGGCCTGGACATGTGCTTTCTTGAGCAGAGAGACCTTGCGGGCACTGCAGGCTTTCAATCCTTGTCGGTGTAGTGTTACCAATTTTCTTGGTGACTGTGGTGCCAGCTGCCTGGAGATCATTGACAAGATCCTCACGTGTAGTTCTGGGATGATTCCTCACTGTTCTCATGATCATTGACACTCCACGAGGTGATCTTGCATGGTGCACCAGACCTAGGGAGACTGACAGTTATTTAGGGTTTCTTCCATTTGCGAATTATTGCACCAACTGTTACCTTCTCACCAAGCTGCTTGGTGATAGTTTGATAGCCCAGTCCAGCCTTGTGTAGGTCTAAAATCTTGTCCCTGACATCCTTGGACAGCTCTTTGGTCTTTGCCTTGGAAAGTTTGGAATCTGTGTGCTCCTGTGGACAGGTCTTTTTATACAGATAACAACAAAATGAGATTAGCAGCACTCCCTTTTAAGAGACTGCTTCTAATCTCAGCTTGTTAACTGTAAGACACCTGGTAGCCAGAAATCCTGCTGAATGATAGGCAATCAAATACTTATTTCCCTCATGAGCATGCAAATCGGTGAATAATTTGTTAGACATGCATTTCTTTTGATTTTTTTTGTTCTGTCTTTGTTACAATACACCTACCATTCGATTTTTAGACTGATCGTTTCTTTTGAGTCGGCAAACATTCAAAAGCAGCAGGAGATCAAATACTTATTTCCTTCACTGTATAGTACCACAAAGTAGTAGGCCACGTAAAATGACAGTGGGGTAAGTGTATGCTGAAGTGCACAGAAGTCGCAACTGTCTGAGTCAATAGCTTAATACCTCCAAACTTTGTGTGACCTTCAGATTGGCACAACACTGTGTAGACAACTTCATGGAATGGGTTTCCATGGCCGAGCAGCTGCATCCAAGCCTTACATCACCAAGTGCAATGCAGAGAAACAGATGCAGTGGTGTAAAGCATGCCAATACTTGACTCTAGAGCAGTGGAGACATGTTCTTTGGAGTGACCAATGACACTCTTCTGTCTGGCAATCTGATGGACATGTCTGGGTTTGGCAGTTGCCAGAACGGTACTTGACTGCATTGTGCCAAGTGTAAAGTTTGGAGGGGGGATTATGGTGTGGGGTTTTTCATGGGTTGGGCTTGGCCTCTTAGTTCCAGTGAAGGGAACTCCTTAAGGCATCAACTTATCAAGAAATTTGAACAATTTCCTGCTCCCGACTTTGTGTGAAGACTTTTGGGATGGCCCCTTCCTGTTACAACCTGACTGTGCGCCAGTGCACAAAGCAAGGTCCATTAAGACATGGATGAGAAGTTTGGGGTGGAGGAATTTGACTGGAATGCTCAGTCCCGACCTCAACCAGATATTGGAGACTGCAAGCCAGGCCGCCTTGTCTGACATCGGTGCCTGACCTCTCGAATGCGCTTCTGGAAGAATGGTCAAACATTCCTAAACCTTGTGGACAGCCTTCCCAGTAGAGTTGAAGCTGTTATAGTTGCAAAGGGTGGGCAAACGCCATAATGAATCCTACGGACGAAGACTGGGATTCATTAAAGTTTGTGCATGTAAAGGCAGGCTTCCCAGTACTTTTGGCAATATAGTGTATATTTATATAGTCTCTCCAGAAGTAGGATGTACAATGTATATGAACTGGGAGTCACATGAAGCTTTATGAACAGTGGATGGGGGATATAAACCATTTCTATTGTACTAAAGCCTGACTTTTTTTTTTTATGGATATTTTAATGCACAATACTGGTAAACTTTTTTACTTTAAATTTAATTGTAATGCCTTTATATCAGCTAACATGTCATTCATGCTTTGTATAATGGTTTTGCACAGAGAATCCAATTTTCTCTTCTAGGGTCCCTGCCAATGCTTCTGTGCCCTCCAGACTTTAGAGTGCCTATAGTCAGATAAAATCTTTCCCCCTTAGAACCACTTATTTCCCATGGGGTGTTGCTTCTTTCATGAACGGTGTATTGTGTATACAGACATGTAAGAACTGTGTACTGAGCTTGTATATGTGCTGCACTGTATTTTCTGATGAGAAAATTTTTTATATGCAGGCCAAATAATGGATTACAAAATAACAATCAGGGCTGAAACGACTAATCGACATAATGGATTATGAAAATAGTTGTCTATGTACAGCTGCACCAAAGCTTAACTGAACAAGCCGAAGTTAGAAGCGGGTTACTATGCACAGCCTAACCAGTTTAGTAAATCTCCCCTTTCACATGTCAATAGCAGTGAACACTGTCCAAGTTTCTGAGCTCTCAATGTGTAAAATTTGAGGCAAAGGTATAGATGGCACATTAACTCAAAACTCGGAGGACTGCACGTAATCCTAAAGTCTAGCCAGGGACATAATCCTTCAAGTCTTCCTGAATAACATCCTTTACCATAGGTTCACACCTAAAGTGTTTTCCGCAGCATTTTGCAGAAGCTCACTATAGTCTATTTAATATTTCCTATGGGACAGGTTCACATCTCTGTTTTTTTCACCCAGTGCGATTTTTGGAAAGGGTTGGACTTTAATTGCAAAATTGCGTGTTTTTTGTTTGGTTTTTTTTTTTTTTTTTTGTTTCTATAGACCTCAATGGAAACGTAAAAAACATTTTTGCCGGGTTTTTGATAGTTTTTGCATTTTTAAATGTGCCTATTAAAAACTGCATGTGCGAAATGCTCTGCAGAAACTGATCAAATGCACACTGCATAGGTGTGAACCTAGCCTTAAAGTGGAGTTCCAGCGGGAAAAAAAATAGCGGCTAGAAACACTGTAGCTGCTGACATTTTAAAAAAAACACTTGTGTGTCAAGCAGTGTCCTTGCCACTGCTGGTTTCACCGGCTGTCTTCTCTCCGTGGCGTGGGCATTGGCAGTGGGAGCACCCGGCTGTGACAGCTTGCAGCTTCACAGCCGGATGCCCACTGCACATGCGCAAGAAGCGCTGCACTTTGTGAAAGGGTTCCAGAAAACTACGGGGCCAATCACGTGTGCAGAGGACTATGGGGAGGGGGGAGGACAACTTCTGATTGCCTAGGTGATTGCAGTGGGAGCGGGTACCTGTCAAACTCTGGTACCCGCTCTCCTAAGGTGGCAATCCTTAATGGGGGGGCAGGTGACAGGCTTAAAGCAGAACTTTCCCTTTTGGGTGGGGCTCCGCTTTAAGGAGTTAGTCCGCCTACCAATATAAGTTCACCTTTATAGGAAGAAAATAATGCACTACCCCCCCCCCCCCCCCCCCAGTAAAGTGCAATTAATTTTTGTTTTCCGAAGACTGCAGAGCACTGCACCCACAATCGGCAGCTTGTGGGTGAAAATCTGTCTCCTGCGGCCTGGGATTGCTGTCTGCCCATACCCTGTACAGACAGGCAGTTACCTGAGAGCAGGAGGATCAATAGACTACAAGCGCTCACCAGCACTCTGTTCATGGGAGGACTACATGCTCTTTGCCACAATGGCTGATGGTACTTGTAGTCTATCCATTCACAGGAACAATGACCCGGCCACATGTGGCATCATGGCTGAGCTTTTGTAGGCATGCCCTCTAACATTTCTACTTTAGTGGTACAGCACATACTACTTGGTAATGCACATCAGTGTTTTTTACAGTTTGTAATTTATCTGCCATTTTTGTGAAGTGTGGAAAATGCCTCAGTGAATTTGTCCATAGTTGTCTAAGCCCTTAGTCCAGTGCTAAATAGTTAAGAAATCAGTGTTTCAAAAGTAATCCTTATACCTTTTTCTTCAAGGTTTGCTTCAAGTATTTCTGCCGTTCCTGCTGGCACTGGCAGCACTCAATGGAGATCCTCCGTCACCACCGCCCACTCATGCGCAACCAGAAGAGCCGTGATTCCAGCTAATGTTGCCAAAAGAAATATGCTTCAGAGCAAGTGTGCCGAAGAGATGATTAGGTCCTGTGCCCCTCTAGGCAGCACATGGAGCACTTGTAACTTTTTGTTGACAGGAGTCAGTGGATGGTGGGGGAAGTCACATGATAGTGGTTTGGCACTTACTGTACATTGAAATAGTTTTTGCACTTGTGCACAGTGAGTTTTGCCAAGGATAGAGGATTTTTCTTTTATGGTTATGGAGGTGCATATTTTTGCCTCCCAATGTTTTGCAGTTTCCATTGTAGTCCTCACACTTGCTGAGTGTAAGCAGTGTGTGGACAGTTGTCTGAAGGTTTGACTATTAATGCCTCAGTCTTTTTTTGGTTTTTTTTTTTTTTTTTTTGTTTTTTTTATTGCAGGCGCTTCTTTTACATTCCTTGCAAATACTGCAGGTATTCATGACAGTTGCCCAGTTTTTTGCCGTTGCCATACAGTGCCTTCCGATGCCTTCCAATTTCTTTAATGTCCCATCTGAACTGCATAAACTGGTTGTTCAGTTGGCATTTTACTGGAACAACAATAGCAGTATCTGCTCTTTATTTAGAATCAAATCATATTTCATATTTTACCCTCTGGGATTTTTACTAGTTCCTTTTTACACTCTTAGATGGTTTTTAAGTCAAATTTTTTTTTCCTGGCAGCTTTTAACATTACTGCAACTTTTCTGTTTCTGGGAGCTGCTAGTTTGAGAATAAACATAAAATATATTTGTACAACTGAACTTCCAACAAAAGACAGACTTGAGGCCTTGGCTGAAACAGATGATGACCTTGTGTGTGTATATAGTTTTAAGGATGTTTGTTGCACTTTTTTAATTTGCACTTCAGGGGATGGTAGTTTTTAATCACTTAATGTTTGGCTGGACAGTAAAGGGCTGTATTGTATATTTTCTTTTAAAAATGGGGTAGAGGCTAGAGAGATGAGATCTTTCTCCTGGAGGGGATGTGCCCATGCTCTTAGGTATTGAGTGTTTTTGTTATAGGAAGAAGCTGACCTATGAAAACTGTTGCTAGCCTTTTTGAAATGTGTCCATGTTTTATTTCTGTCCCCCTTCTGTTTGGAAGCTCCGTGCCAAAGATTCCACTGTCTGTAATGTTCCCTCTTTCCAGTACACGCTGAGCTAAGTCTGCACTAGCTGCCCTGTGCGGGTATTTTCTGTGAAGCTGTGTGTAAAGTCTCTACCTCATTGTAGTTATGCAAGCAGAAAAATGCACTTATCCTACAGATGTGGTGTCGTTTTCTTTGTTTTTTTGTTTTGGCACATAATAAACACGTTGAAGCAGTATGTGTGACTGGGTGTTTTTTTTTTTTTTTTTTTTTTTTTTTTTTTTGTTTTTGTTTTTTTCTGGTTTAAACATTTACATGCACTTCAGCATTTAGGCCTCATGCTCCCTGGATATTTTCACAGCTGCTGCTTAGGGGTGTTTGATGTTTTTGGTTGTTTTTTTTCCCGAGTCATCTTCTAGGACAGCTCACTTGAGAGATAGGGCTCCTCCCAGGAAACACCTGCTCCACCTTTTTTTTTTTTTTTTTTTTTTCCCCTTTATAGGCGTCCTCTCTCCCATTGGCCCCCAGTTTTAGTGTTTCCTCCGGCCAGGAAGGAGCTACGCCCGTTTTTTATTTTTGTCTGGGCTCTCTGGCGGAGTACAGAGGGTCCCTGGCTGAGGCCCCCCCCTTCCTCCAAGCGAGGCAGGGGCCTTGTGAGGGGGGGGGACCTTTCAGCCAGTTTCACACTGGAATGCCCGTTGTAGGGTGGGGGCGTCGGCCCCAGATGGTCCCAGCGGGGCAGAGCCCGCTCCGCCGACCGAGGCATTGGTGCCTTTCCCTGCGGGGTTTCAGGTAAGTCTTACCTGCTCCTGGATCCCGGCAGCATGGCCAGGAGGCTCGGCTGCGGAAGGTCTGGACGCTGCGATCGCGTCACTGCCGGGTGTCGTCACTTCCGGCGCAGGAGCATGGAACGGCCGCCGCCATCTTGGAAATGGGCGGCGGACCGTGGAAGGAACCCGTGCCACGGCCGCTTCTCCACTAGCGGCCGTGAGAGGGGGGTCGGCGAGGGGGGATCGCAGGGGGGGGGGGGGGGACGGAGCCCACCAGCCCTGAAAAAACGCCGCACCGAGGCCGAGCAGAGTCTGCGGCAGCATGGAGGCAGATCTGTCAGGAGCGGGGGAGGCCTGCAGTAAGATGGGCCCACAGGAGGAGGATAGAGGGGAGAAAGAAGCTCCTTGTGAGCAGAAAAAGAAGTGTGCCACTTGTAGGAAGAAACTGGCGAGCTCCTGGAGGAAGCAGCTCTGCCAGGGGTGCATAGACAAGCTCATCAAGAAGGAGTCTGGATCTCTTTTTAAAGACTTCCTACAGAATGACACAAGAGATGTCCAAGACATTTCAAAGCTTCAGGGAACAGAAGCCGGGGCCGGCCCAGGATGAGCCCCAACCGGGCACTTCTGGCACCCAAGGGGGGAAAAAGAGGAAGCTGGACAAGGTAGCGCCGGTAAGGGACTGGGAAGAGGCCGAACAGTCGGACACCTCAGACTCGGAGGAGGGTGAGATTGAGGCTCAGGGCCCAAAGGCAGACAGGTTCCTTTTTCAGGTGGAAGACACGGAGGACCTGTTTAAAGGTGATCTATGAGACCCTGGATCTGGAGGAGGAACAGCAGGACCTCTCTCTCCACGACCAACTGTACGCAGGGCTACAGGCAAAAAGCAGCCGTACATTCCCAGTACACCCTGCCCTATGGTCCACGATCAGGAGAGAATGGGAAGAGCCAGAGAAGAAGGCTTTCCTTCCCAAGAACCTCAAGAGACGTTTCCCCTTTAAGGAGGAAGATGCCTCGGTTTGGGAGACTTGCCCAAAGCCAGACGCCCCTCTCTCGAGGATCTCTAAGGACACGGACCTGTCCTTTGAAGACGGTGGGTCCCTAAAGGACCCGATTGATCGGAAAGCGGATGCCTTCCTGAAGAGGGCATGGGAAGCGTCCGCAGTGAATTTTAAACCCGCAGTGGCAACGACCTGCGTGTCCAGAACCCTGGATGTGTGGTTGGGGCAGCTCCGTTCGCATCTGGAACAAGGCACCCCGGGGGAAGAGATTCTGAAATCCCTTCCGGTGCTGGAGAAAGCGGTAGCCCTTCATCGCGGACGCATCAGCAGAGACCATCAGACTCTCTGCTAGATCTACAGCGCTCATAAACACGGCGAGGAGGGCTATCTGGCTGAAATCTTGGCAGGGGGATCTGGCCTCCAAGTCTAAACTCTGTGGCCTGCCGTTTGAAGGAAAACTCCTTTTCGGCCCGGAGCTGAATTCAGTCCTGGAAAGGTCGGCCGACAGGAAAAAGCTTCCCGGTCCCCAGCAGGCAGGTTGGACGGAAGGGGTTTCGCCCATCCAGGCGATACACGTTGAGGGAAGCTAGGTTCCAAACCCAGCGCCCAGGCTGGGGCGCAAGAAGAGGCAGGAACGAGCCGAGAGGCAGGGGAGGGTTCCTTTTCAACCCCAGCCAGAATAGACCCAAAACCCAGCCGAAGTGACTGGAGAGGCCAGGTGGGAGCGAGGCTGGGGCGCTTCCACGCACAATGGCTAAGGATAACCCAGAACACCTACATTCTGGAGGCCATCCACAGGGGGTACAGAATAGAGTTCACAAGGGCCCCCCCTCAGATTCTTTGCAACACCCCTGCCAAAGGACAGGGCCATGGCGGATGCGTTGGACCTCCTACAAGACATGCTCAGTCAGAACGTTATCTGCCAGTTGAGAGAAAGAAATGGGAGAAGTGGATCCACTTCCCCTTTCTCCTCTAAGGAAAAAACCGTCAGGTACTTACAGGATGATATTGAATCTGCGGAAGGTGAACGAGTTCGTGAGGCCCAGCAAGTTCCGTATGGAATCCATATACACGGTGAAGGAACTCCTTTCACCTGGGGTGTTTATGGCCTCGATAGATCTGCAAGACGCATACCTGCATGTCCCGATAAGAGAAGATTCCAGGAGATTCCTGAGGTTTGCGCTGGAAGGCGAAAAGGGTCCGGTGCTATTTCAGTTCAACACACTCCCCTTCGGCCTGTCGTCGGCCCCGAGGATATTCACCAAGATTCTAGCGGAGCCTTTAAGAGTTTTGAGACTGAAAGGGATAAACCTCATCCCCTATTTGGACGACCTGCTTTTATTTGCGGACACAGAAGGAGGCCTGAGATCGCACATCGAACGTACGATATATTTTCTGGAAAGTTTGGGGTGGCTTATCAACAAGGAGAAGTCACAGCTAACCCCCTCCAAGAGGATTACGTACTTGGGTACGTCCTGGACTCCGCACAGGCCCGATCGTACCTAACATCAGAAAAAGCCCTCAACCTGCGGCAGGACACAAGGGCCCTCCGGAGGATGTCGACCTGCACGGTCAGGACCGCGATGAGAATAATCGGGCGGATGACAGCGGCAATACCAGGGGTGCAATGGGCGCAACTTCACTCCAGGGTTCTGCAAAATCACACCCTTTCCCACTGGAACGGCAGCCGAGCAGGTCTGAATTCCAGGATCCGCATCACGCACGAAGTGAAGGAATCGCTAAGGTGGTGGGGAAGCATCCTCACCTTGGAACGAGGAAGAAGTTGGAGGCTGGCCAGCCCAGTGCGGATCACCACGGATGCAAGCATGACTGGTTGGGGCGCACATATGGAAGACGGCCTGGCCCAGGGCACGTGGGGTGCAGTAGACTCCAGCAGGTCGTCAAATTACAGGGAGCTGTTGGCAGTTTTCAAGGCACTTACGACCTTTCAGGAAAAGATAAGGGGGAGAGGTGTCCAGATTCTCTCCGACAATACCACTGCAGTGGCGTATTTGAACAGGCAGGGAGGCACAAGGTCCCCAAGGCTGATGGAGTTGGCCGGATCCCTCCTGAGCTGGGCGGAGGAAAACCTAGAGTTCATCACGGCAGTACATCTGAAAGGGGACCTGAACCAGTTGGCGGATCAGCTGAGCCG